TGCAAATTATACCACGACAACATTTTATCTTTTGAAATGAGAAACGATTTATGTATTTATATAAATCAGATACTTGCTTATACTACATTTATGTGTGTCGGTTTTGGCACTGCAAAAACTACACTTTACATAACAAGTGAACATTTTTACTAAGGGTTTATTATACATGAAACACACTTTTAGGAAACTATAATAGGTATAGTTTCACGAGAATACTACGAAATTTTACATACATGGAAATACTATTTCAAGAAGCTACTTTCATATACAATAACGAACGAACGTTTTCACACGTAAATCTGTTTTATACTAAGTTTTGTGAGACATTAACTTCATGTACGTTCGAGTACACATTTCAAGTCCTGTATTATATACCATAATCCCTTGGAGGGGGAGCATGGTGTTTGTGTATAGATCTATACGAGCTTGACAACCCGCACCCTGACTGTGATCTATAGTCCACCATTTGGGGTGAGAAACGTCAGAACATTCCAACACCTGAAGAACGTTGTGTATAGGCATTCCTTGTCAATAGCATGGTTATAAAACTCACATGGAGTATTAAAAACACAATGATTTACGGGGTTTTTCAGACATATTGGAATTTTTATACGTAGATACATTTACTAGAAACAAGCATTTGTCCTGAAAGAAGGCATGAAAACAAAGAACAAAAGCATTTCATTTCATACAAACATTGTCATTAAATACTTATGAAACTCACCAGCTTAAATGTTGATCTACTCTTTCAAAACTACTTGTATGTCCCAGGGATTCAGTAATTACAGGTAACAAACGGATTTTGGAGAAGGGATGCTGCGGTGCCAGTTTAATTTCATATTTTGACATCATAATGTAATTGATTTTGAACATGTACACTTTTAAACAATGTAAACTTTAAATATATATATGATGGTTGTATTGCTTTCTTTACTATGTATTCAATTGTTACGTTACCACATAAAGTCATCCGCCCCCGAACGTTTCCGCCGTTCCGTTTTGGGGGTGTGACAAACAAGTAGTGCATGATGATAACTTACCAAGAAGGATGATCTAGATGAGAACCTCCTGAAGACATCCCAAATCTCGAAAATTTAGAAAGGATGAGGAGAGTTCTTGAGATATTTCTTGTAAGAGTTTGAGGAAAATGAAGATGGTGGTGGTGTGTGTGTGTTCTCAGCCGAAGATAAGGAGAAGGAAGAGAGAGGTTAGTGGTTAATACACCATAATGTTTTTTCTTAAATGTACGCCATGTAATTAGCTTGGTTACCCTCTAAATAAACATGAAGTGTCACCACCTCTTCCCATGCAAATCCTTTATATATATATATATATATATATATATATATATATATATATATATATATATATATATATATATATATATATATATATATATATATATATATATATATATATATATATATATATATAAACACATTGGGTTGAGAATGGGCTCAATGAATGAAGGTGAAATAGCTTTGGGCTCAAATCCTTGGCTTTGATCGAATTTCATAGGCCTCATAATATTTTTCAGCCCATTGGGACCTTAGGATGGTTCACGGCCCAATGAGGTCTTCTTTAAAGGGTTTAAGGTCCATTAAGGTAAATAGAATCATTTATGGCCCAACTAGGCCCATTAGAGGTAAACCAATCCGTTTTAGGCCCATATGGCCCAAAAGTTATGTTTTATGAATGTGGGTCCAAATAGAGCCCATTTAAGGGTTTGTCCATAATGAACTTGAACCGGGATTTTTAGGGTTTTCAACTCCCAATTGACTTTCTGAAATGTTTTGTATAGAGTTTTGAACTTTACTGGGTGAACCTCGATTGAATTTGTTGTCATTAAAATGAACATAATGAATATCATCAAGTTAGAGTTACAAGTATTATCATAGATAGCGTTTACATGAGCACATAATTTCCTAGCAAAATGCTAGTTGTGACAGTAGACTAGAGTGGCGATGAGAGGCGGATAAAGTAACTCACAAAGCAAATTACTTAACCAGTTCGTGTCAGCAACGTCATTCACAATAGCATGATATTGTGCTTCAACACTAGACCAAGAGATGGTAGTTTGATGGTTTAAAGACTAGGAGAGGAGATTCTGACCAAGAATCACACAGTAGCCGAAGGTGGAGCGATGAGTAGTGGGACAACCAACTCGAGCGGCATCAGAGTAAGCAACTAACCCCCATGAGGAAGATACATATAGTTAAAGTCCATGATCTAGAGTGTCCTGAGCGTACCGAAGAATCCGCTTAAGTGAGGCTCGAGGGTCATGAATGTAGAGACACACTTGTTGAACCGAGTAGGAGATGTCCGGACAGGTTAAAGTCATGTATTGAAGAGCACCTGCAAGACTACAGTAACGTGTCGAGTCGAAAAGAGAAGGACATGTTCCATCAATCTTGGTTGTGGTGTCAGCTGGTGTGCGTACGGGTTTGTAGTTAGACATCTTTGCGCATTCAAGTATCTCAGTGACATACTTCTGTTGAGATAAAAACATGTCATGGTGATCTATAGTGACTTCAACACCAAGAAAGTAATTCAAAGAACCCAAATCAGTCATGACAAACTTAGCCCATTGAGTGGAAATGACCTATCAAAGGAGTTTGTCTGAAGATGCAGTCAACAAAATATCATCTATATAGAGTAAACGATAGGCAAGACTGTCACCCTGTCTGTATATGAAAAGAGACGAGTCAGATTTGTTGTTGATGAACCCAAACTGAGTGATAAACTGATATTTCCTTTATTTATTAGGATTGAGGGTTAAACCTAATTAAAGTGCAATCCCTAGGTCATAGTTGTAGTTTCTAAGGAATTTCATAGTTATTGAATATATTGAGCAATACACAGAGTTATATCATAAAACAATTGTTTGTATATATTAGTTAATTTGGGTTACATAATTGTCTTAGAGACAAGTACGATAGTAATACCAAGTAAACAATAAAAGAAAAAAAAATGCTTCCAACTTCTCTCTTGATGATTTCCCCAAAACACTTGCCGCTTCCGGTACTCATTCTCTTGAGAATACATGTGGTTTTGAAAGGTCAACATAATGTTGGTGAATTCACAAGTACTATTGTTAGTCCCAAAACTAAGGATCCAATTCAATAATCAATGAAGTTAATTGCAATTAAGGTAAAATGTAGAAGAAGAAGAAGAAGTAAAATCAAGCATGCACACATCTATTACGAGTAAATGTCAAATACATCTTGAGAAAGTACAAGTACTGTAGAGTTCTGACTGAAAAAATTACAATCTGACAGAACTCAGTTACTATAAATAGTACCCCTCCTACCAGCACAAGAGTGTGCAGCCGTATATACGTGTGTGCGGCCGCACACACATGTGTGGCTGCACACATTACAAGCTCAATACAAACAATACTGCAAAACAAACTCTGACATCCTGAATAGATCTATACAACAATTATGACTAGCTCAAACCACAAAATTATGGAGCTTCAATCTCCCCCTTGGTTTGAGACTAGCATAGTCTTGAACTTCATTCGTTTCGCTTCTCAACAGGCTTCTCAAACAGCTTTAGATCCGATCTCCCTATCGAGCCCATCCACATTCTTCCATTGATGATCGTAGCCACCATTGCAGTGAATTCTTTAGCAGCAACTTCCATGACATATTTTCTGCAAATTATTTGATGACGAGCCAGAGTCTGTATACCATTTTCTCTGAAACAAAGAAGATCTTTGGCACTAATCAATCTCAGAATGTGTTCTCGATCCTTGAATTTGATAGCTGCAGTTGCAGTTTCTTCATCATAGGCCCAAAATTCCCTATTATCCAGATATCCCTCATGAAAATGTTGAGGAATAGGAATTTCCTTTTGTTTCTTAGTTGCAGGCCAGAGTATGATCTTCATGGGTTCGCTTGATTCCGGATCAAGAACTTCTTTGTCTTTTCTATACAGAGCTCTAGCAGTCTTCATTGATGGAAAGTTTTCTCTGACCTATCTGTCAAGAAACCTTTTGAAATTAGAGGCACTAGGATTATCAGAGTGATTATGGAATGGGGCCCTGGATAATTCAACTAGATCAGTTTTGGCCCAAGAGTTGAAATCGTGGGTGCTTTTGTAACATTTTGATGCTCCCGAGTTTCGCTTTACAACCCACAAATTCGTCTTTGGATCAAAGGCCCACATTCGGATACTGGACCTGTCTCCATACTCATCACCGAACTTTCTTTTCTTTAAATCCGTTACAGTCAAAACAGGGTCTTTTGCCTTGTGATTTTCATTAGAATTTTTCATGAATAAAAGGCCTTCGCTTTGATTTGCAGTTACGATTCTTTTGCCCTGTTTGATTGTGATTCTAGTTCTGCTTCCTTCTGGTTCTATTTCAAACCTGTTGACAATTGTAGTTGATCTTGGAGCAGGTGAGTTGACAGGAAGATCATCAGTTGCAGAAGGTGATTGAACTGTGGGAGGATTAGCTATTCCATGTGGCTGTTGGAACAGGTCTTTGACTTTTTCACCAAATGCATCGTACAAAACGTTCTTGAGATTGAAATAATTGGCTAATACAGATCCAAGGCTCGTTTGTAGATCATTAATTTGTTTCGTCTTTTCTTCATCCTTCGCCCCGAGCTCAAAGATGTATGCAGAAAGCTGATCCATCTGAATTGACTTTTCGATGAGCTCTTGACGGAGGAAGTTGGACTAGATTGAGTCAGATGTTTAACTAATCTAATAGAAGCTTCATCTAGTGAAGGTCGAGTTGGAGAATATTCTGGAATGGATGAGGATCCACCAGTCTCAAACATGGTACTCGGACCTTCATATGTTTGCTTTGGAGGAGAGTGAGCAGAGGTAGCAGTGATTGTTGAAAGAACTTGAGTTGCACATCTTACAGCGGGTACCTCCAGACTTGCAAGAGATTCGCTTGTTTTCATGGAAGTCTGAGAAGTCTGAGGTTCAGTTGAATCAGAAATGACTGGAGCAGAAGTTGAGATAAGTGACACAGAGGGAGGAATCTATGATGTCACATCTCCTTGGCTTGGTGCAACCTCGAAGGGCTTTGAAGTAGAGAGTAGAATCTTGAGAACATTTCCTTCATCTCTAGTCTTGGTTGCTAAAGAAGCAACTTCATTGACTTTATTAACACGGCTGTTGGGAATTTCAAGAAAAGGATCAAAATTTTCATCACCAAGATCAAACTCTATGTTTGTTGGAATGTCATCATTAATCCCCGTAAAGTCAATTTCTTTTAAAAACTCTAGATCATCATAAAGATCATCATCATCATCATCCTCTCGAGTAGATTTTGATTCATTTGCTTTTTGAAGATCATGTTCATCAGCCCCACAAGCTGTGGGAGAGTCATGAATTTCCTCCACTTCTGGCTCAGAGGGAGAATGAAAAACATCTTCATTTTGCATCGGAATGGATTGTTCTTCTAATTCTTCTCTATCATTCTCTTTAAAAATTCCAAATTTTATTAATGGAAATTTTCCTTCAAATACAAACTTCCCGCCTCTCTTTTGTTTCATTAGTCCAAAAGCACTTGGACCAATGGATTTGAAATCCAAAGTATCATTTCCTCTCTGCAGCTCGGGGTGAGTCACATTAAGGATGATTTGCAAAAATCTTGGATACATCCAGAATTTGTCCCTTTTTCTCCCTTCAAGGTTTAGTATCATTTCATTCATTATAAATTTTGAGAAATTGAACTCAAATCCTGCAGCCAATGCTGCAATGGCACCAGTGTTGGCCAGAGAGATCTCGTTTGCTCCCGATCTCCTGCCGGAAATGCAGCTCACAAACACATGAGCCAAATACTTCCAACACAAAGGAAGCAACTTCTTAATTGTAGGGGGGAAAGGTTCCCTCGTATCCCATATGCTCTAAGACATCCCGAGTTTGATGAACGCCAATCTCCATGGTGTACTCAGGTCTGTCGTCTATTTGGAGAGATTCTCTAATGATGCTCTCTGTTACTTGAATTTTCTTGTCTTCGATTGTTGCTTCAACAAAATTTTCACCCTGATCATTATTCTTTACAACAACACTCCTCCAGAAATCCTTAATCAAACTCTGGTAGATAGTAGGACTTGTAGTTAGGGCATGAACCAACCAGGATTTCTTCAAACCATCCACAATGAATTTCAAGTCATTGTGAGTTGCAGGAGGGTCTTCGAGAAAAATTACGGAGTTGTGGACTTTAGCGAATTCCATGTCTCCCATCTTAATCTGAAAGTCAACACACAAAATTATTAGGGCAAAACTATTGAAAATAATGCAGTCGCACTCGAAATTACACACAGCCGCACACGTGCAAGTGTGCAGCCGCAACCGCACATGCCTAATCGCACATAAAATTATACAACTGCACACGGTCAGCCGCACACGCCCGTGTGCGGCCACACACACTGTGTGCGGTCACACTCGAAGACAAACAGTGTGATTATGATTCAACAGCAAACGATGGAAACTTTTTATGAAAATAGCCGGAAAAATAAGTTGTGTTCATAAGAATTACCGAGTAAGAGCTTTGATTTCACGAAAAAAAATATGGAATATATAAGGATTTTGAGAGAGAAACGGGTGTGGGTGCGGTTGAGGCAAGAAACAGTGACGGTGAAAAACTCACCGCACACACACACTATTTATATACACAAAATTTTCATTTCCTCCCCCTTACCTTTTAACATTAAAAACCGATGCCCCTTCCACTCACCATTTTCTCAAAAATGAATTATTTTGAGGATTTTTAAGAGATTAAATTCATGATTCCTAAAAAATAAAATAAAAACTAAAACAAAATAAAACTTATTAAAAAAATAAAAATAAAAATAAAAAGTAAAAATAAAAAATAAAATAGAATAGAATAAAATGAAATTGGAAATACTATTAACGACGAGGAATTAAAAAAATCAATTTAATCATATATAAATTGTTTTAACCTATTGCAATTAGGGATCAAAGTTTTTAGACAACCTTTATCCGCTTGTCGGTACCTTCCATCTTCACGTCTTTGTCTGGTCGATCGTCGGTATTGTTGTCCATTTAAACACGAAAAATTGTGACAAAATTAGGACATACTATAAGTGACAAGACAATGTGATCCTAAGTTCGTAGATAATATATCTGATCCTAAATTTCTAGATACTATATCTTTAGGACCATTCACTTGACGACGACCAGTGATATTGTTGTCCACCTAAATTAAGCAGCGAGATCTATAGACAATCTTTGAGTGTTCAATTTTAATTGTACTGGAACATATTTCCCGCTTCCAGATATGCTCCGATAATCAAGGACTTCCAGAGTACTCCTTACATCGGATGAGCAGACCATCATTAGGGGAGAAGATAGATTTAGAGTATTATCACTTATAGTGCATATGCTGTGTACCAGGTCGGATTGTTAGTCACGCAAAGGAGACAGGATATGGCTAACAGATAAGAGGAATTTCATATATATATATATATATATATATATATATATATATATGTGTGTGTGTGTGTGTGTGTGTGTGTGTGTGTGTGTGTGTGTGTATAATATGCAGAGAAGTAGAGTTGCATATGTTACAATCCAGGTCGGATCTCTTCCAATCACGCAGAGGAGGTAACATATGACTAACAAACAGAAAGAAAGAAAATGATTTTCTACAAACCTAATTTATCTGAATTTACCAGTCGCCTCATCAATACCGGAATTAAGGACAGAATATGCACATCAAGGAAAAGTTAAACCACGGTTCCAGATACGGGTTCATTTAATGTGACGAGTAGATTCCCATATATATCTCCCTGCTCAACCTATCCAAGCGTCGTATTGTCAGGCTAAACGGAACTATCTAGGTCAAGATTTATCAAGTCTCTAGATTCCTTAAGTTCAGATGCACCTAGTCAAGCCCGTTAAATTCTTCGTGCCTACCAACGCATCAAACCAGAGCATAGACCCTTCAACTTTAGGTACGTTACGCAGACTTAGATTGCCTGTTATCACTTAATAATATCACTTCCCAAAACATCTCCTTCAAGCACATTCTATAACCAGCATAATAATTTTTTGTTTTTCTGATTTTCTAATGTTTTTGGATTTTCTAATTTTTTATGTTTTTGGATTTTCTAATTTTTTTTAAGTTTTTGGATTTTCTATTTTTTTTTATGTTTTTGGATTTTCTGATTTTCTAATGTTTTTGGGTTTTCTAGTTTTCTCCCCCTAAATTTGTGCATATAAAAATAATAATAATAAATGCACAAATTTATTCTAAGATAGACATAAAAAAAAGTAATCCTCAAAACGAATCATTTTTAGAAAATTAACCAGCACATCGAATCGAGCTTTGTTAAACGGCTTAGTGAACAGATCTGCTACATTATTATCAGAGCGGACCTGTTCTAGCCGAATGAGCAAACGCTCATAACATTCTCTGATAAAATGAATCTTGATGTCGATGTGCTTGGTTTTTGAGTGATGGACCAGGTTTTTGGCAATTTGGATCGCAGCCTCATTATCACAGAAAAGAGGGGTTTCTTGAAAATTCAAACCGTAGTCCAACAACTGATGTTGGATCCAGATGACTTGTGAACAACAAGCAGACGCAACGACATACTCCGCTTCTGCTATTGAAGTGGAAACGGTATGCTGCTTCTTACACTGCCATGAAACCAATCTATCGCCCAGAAATTGGCATCCACCTGAAGTCAATTTTCTATCAAGCTCACACCCACCATAGTTGCTGTCTGCAAAAGCGTAAAGATCAAATTATGGATTTTTCGGATACCAAAGACCCAGTTTTGGGCACCCTTTGAGATACCAAAAAATCCGTTTAACAGCAAGTAAATGAGAGAGTTTAGGATTAGCCTAGTAGCGAGCACATTGACAGACCGCAAACATTATGTCTTGTCGACTGGAAGTTAGATACATGAGTGATCCGATCATTGATTGATAATGCGTATAATCTACGGATTCACCCTCAAGATCAGGGGTTAGAAGAGGTCTTTCCGCCGTGGGTGTAAGAGCAGGTTTCACGTATCGAAACACGAACTTCTCTAGTACATCATCCACATACTTTGCTTGGTGAATAAGGATTCCGGTGGAAGATTGTTGGACCTGAAGCCCTAGAAACATGGTCATTTCCCTAAGCGAACTCATCTCAAACCGCTTCTTCATCACTACTTCGAACTCTTTACAAAGCTGTTGGCTTGTCGATCCGAAAATAATGTCGTCTACATAAATTTGAACAAGAATTTGATCTGGACCGACATGTTTGAGGAATAAGGTTTGATCAATGGTGCCTCGTGAATAGTCGTGGTTGAGCAAATGTTGAATCAAGGTAGCATACCAAGCTCTAGGAGCTTGATGCAGTCCATACAAAGCTTTGTCTAACTTGTAAACATGGTTGGGAAGTTTGGAGTTAACAAAACCGGGTGGTTGGTCAACGTAGATCTCCTCCTTTACCTTGTCGTACAAGAAAGCCGTCTTGACATCCATTTGGTATACTGTGAAGTTCATATAGGAAGCATAAGCAAGGAAGATACGAATAGCCTCCAAATGAGTGACCGGAGCATAAACTTCTGTATAATCAAGACCCTCAACTTGCCGAAACCCTCGAACCACTAATCTCACCTTGTTGCGCACAATTATACCGGAGTTGTCTTGTTTATTCCAAAAGACCCATCGGGTGTCAAGAGATTTCTTTCATTTTGGCAGCTCCACCAATGTCCATAGCCCAAGCTTCTCAAATTGATTAAGTTCATCATGCATGGATTCAACCCAGCTGGGCTCATTCAGAGCCATTTCAACATTTTTGGGCTCAATCTGAGAAATAAAGCAAGAATAGAGACATGTATTAACATCTCCACTCTAACTTCTAGTTTGAACACCGGCGCCCAGCTGGCCAATGATGTTCTTTATAGGATGATCGCGCTAAATGCGTGTAGGAATCTCGTAGCTGATATCATTGACAGAGACTGGAAGAGTATGAATGTTAACCATTCCATCATTTGTTGTGTGATGCACAGAAGATGAACAAAGTTCGTTCATAGGATCTGCTACAAACTCTTCAGCAATACTTTTGGAAAGAGAAGTTCCATTAGATTTGAAGTTACAGCGGAAGTCTCGTGGTTCATGAACTCTCTTTCCACCGGAGCTAGAGGAGTAGGAACAGCATCAGGAGAAGGTTGTTGAGGAGAACACTCAGAAGACTCAGTGTGAACAGAGGGTACCATTGGAGGATCAGAAGAAATCAGTGGTGGTCGGTAGACAACTTCATCTTCTTCATCTTCAATTCTGATCTTCGAATTTGACATAGATCCTTTTTGATTATCTGAGAACACATTGAATGATTTGAAAAGAGACGTGTAGTCAAATAACCCATCAGGACCCACTCTTGCATCTGTCTCATTTTCTTCGAGCCAACGAATATCGAAAGATTCTACAATCTGTTTTGTCTTCTTATTGTATACCCTGTAAGCAGTTCGAGCAGCATAACCAACAAAGTAAAAATCATCGGCTTTTGCATTGAATTTGGGGTTGGATTCCAAGTGAAGAAGGGTTCAAGGACAGCCAAATACATGGAAATGGCTGACAGATGGCTTGTGTCCGTATAGAATTTCGTATGGTGTTTTCATTCTGGCTTTGTTGATCAGCACACGATTCTGAACGTAGCATGCAGTGTTAATCGCCTCTGCCCAGAAGAACACATGAAGCTTGGAGTCATAGAGCATCATCCTTGCAACGTCTTTTAGAGTTCGATTCTGGCTTTCGGGAACCCCGTTTTGTTGAGGAGTTCGAGCGGAACTGAACTGACGCACGATCCGTTTCTCAGCGTAGAAATGGTCAAGAGCAGCATTGTTGAATTCTGTTCCATTATCAGTGCGTAACGCTTTCACTCAATTGTTGGTCTGATTTTTGATCATCACAATGAATCTTTTGATGAGGCCAGGGATCCCAACTTTGTTGGATAAGAAGAAAACCCAAGTGAATCGAGAGTAATCATCTATCACAACAAGCCAATATGAGTTACGATTTATGTTGAGAACATTAACCGGACCAAATAAATCCATATGTAACAACTCGAGCACCTGACTTATGGAGTTTATCTGCTTTGGAAAGTGTGGTTTCCGATGATGTTTTCCTTGAGCGCAGGAAACACATTTTTCAAAAGTAATGAAATCTTTGACAGGTAACCCACGGACCAGTTCGTTTTTCACAAGCCAATTCAAGTTCTTTGC